CTAGAATTTGCTGAAGATGGAGACATTATTGATTCTCGAGTATACAGCTACGCTATTGCTCTGGAACAGACGAAAAAGAAAGGTGCAATTGTGTAAACTTTACAATCGAAAAACATCATTGTTACATTCGTTTTGTTGACTCAAGGATTATTGAATTTCATGTGAAAATTTTTACATTCTATATTTTGTTAGAATTCGGAAATAAAATGTCTTTTCTCTGAATGTGCTTTGTTTTTTTTTTTTTTGTTTTTTTTTTTGTTTTGTTTTTTGTTTCTCCTCAACCCACAACCGCTCAAACTGTGTAGTGATTAATGCATAAATATCTCTTATCAGTTGAATAATTAGTTGGTGTTGAGCAAGGAGATATATATCACAAAAGTCCCAAAGTATTGGTACAACTAACAAAAAGCCTACCAGGTGACCACAGAAAAACTTAAAAAGAAAAATCAACAACTAATAAAACAAAAACTGATGGAAGAAAAAGTGGGGGAAAATGAAACCGAAACTAAGAAAAAAACAAATGATGGACATCAGCTGAAACAATAATATACATTGCTCCATATCTAAATTACCAAGCAAGAGTAAATACACTTCCCAGTGTCATTATTTGGAAAGACACACAGTTTGGACTGCTCCTCAAGTTTCACACTACTCTGATCATCAGGCAGCAGACCTAATTTTATGGAAGAATTATGACAAATTAGAGAAGGACATCATCAGATTAAATTGAGATTTATGTTGATGCACACAAAGGAAAGTGGATGCTGAAATTTTTTATTTTTGGCATATCAAGCCAAGTTCATTTAATTTCTTTTGTCTATTTTGTTATTAAATAACCCACATTGTGATAATAGAAAATCTGCCAGGAAAGGTCAAAAGCTACTGTGGATGATCTTCTGATTAAAGCACTTTCTAAAAAAATTTGTCTTAATAAATTGCTTTCTCTTTTAGAATAGCATTTTATTAACTCAAAATTATGGTCAAACGCATTACAATGAGCAACTAATGCATTGATGATCCCTTTTAGGGTCATATAATTTTTTTTTTTTTTTATTTAAATTCCTTGAGGTTTCTCCTATGTATTCCTAGTGGCAATTATTGCAGGTGATAGAGTAAATTCCTCCAAACTTTAGCTTATATATATTTAAAAAAAAAAAAAAGAAAGAACAGTAAGATATATAATCCAGTGTTCTTATTGATATTTTTATTTTTACAAAACTGTTCAATGTGAATTTACAGAGCATAAATATTATAAATTAACTGATTTAAAAATATGGTTCCTTCACTGCACAGGAATTATCATGTTTCAAAAAAGCAAAAAATTTCAAATTTAATTATATAATTAAATTGAAAGCATTAGTTCATCTTCAAGCAAATTCCTAAATTTGCTTGAAGATGAAACAGAACTAATTGTTTTTATTTTCTCCCCAAATTAAAGCAACTATATGGCATTTAGAATGGCTCATGATCAAATATAATAGACATCTATTGTCTGTTATATTTAACAATATGTTTGAAAAAATATATATATATATATATATATTAGTGTAATCTATTATATGCTAAATAGGCTTACAATCACAATGTCAAGCATGGTCCTTGATGGGTGACTGACTGGGAATACCAGGTGCTGTAGGCATTGATATATATGTGGAATAATGGCTTGGAATTGTTAATCAGTGAGCTATGTTCCAATTCCCATTGGGTTCATTATATTCACTTACAAAAAAATCCTTGGGGAAAGGTATGAATCCACCTCTTCTTCCCCCCTCAGCTATGGATTAATTAGTAAGGTTTGTATCACTAAAACATTATCTCCACAAAATTCTTACAATCTAAAAATATTTTCTGGCTTTAAATAACTTGCAAAAGGTTGATAATCCATAAAAAAATCAATCAATTCATCAATATTCTAAATAAGAAATAATAATAAATAACACTAATAAATTTTAAGTTTAAAATTCTCCATGTTTCCTTTCTTTCATGAGTGTGTATAGTCGCAACAATTACTTTAGTCTGATGAAGTCCTAAAGGATGAAACACATCTCATGATAACTTTTTCCACTTTGTCAGATTTTTTTTTCCCCCAGGATGAAGAATAATGTTGGATTAAAAATAAAATCCATTAATTCCTTATAAAGAGAGAGAGACTGGTGCTACAGAATCACAAACAAAGAACTGTACCAAATAAGAGAAACCACATCACTTGAGGACTTTCAACAGCAGCAACAACTAAAATGGATATCACATGTAAGTCAAAGAGAAAATAATGAAGCCTGAGTGTCTTGGCAAAGATCATCCTTCTTTGAACCTTGTGGACTGGTGCTACAGAATCACAAACAAAGAACTGTACCAAATAACAGAAACCACATCACTTGAGGACTTTCAACAGCAGCAACAACTAAAATGGATATCACCTGTAACTCAAAGAGAAAATAATGAAGCCTCAGTGTCTTGGCAAAGATTATCCTTCTTTGAACCTTGTGGACTGGTGCTACAGAATCACAAACAAAGAACTGTACCAAATAACAGAAACCACATCACTTGAGGACTTTCAACAGCAGCAACAACTAAAATGGATATCACATGTAACTCAAAGAGAAAATAATGAAGCCTGAGTGTCTTGGCAAAGATCATCCTTCTTTGAACCTTGTGGACTGGTGCTACAGAATCACAAACAAAGAACTGTACTAAATAACAGAAACCACATCACTTGAGGACTTTCAACAGCAGCAACAACTAAAATGGATATCACATGTAAACTCAAAGAAAAAATATGAAGCCTCAGTGTCTTGGCAAAAAGATCATCCTTCTTTGAACCTTGTGGACTGGTGCTACAGAATCACAAACAAAGAACTGTACCAAATAACAGAAACCACATCACTTGAGGACTTTCAACAGCAGCAACAACTAAAATGGATATCACATGTAAACTCAAAGAGAAAATAATGAAGCCTGAGTGTCTTGGCAAAGATCATCCTTCTTTGAACCTTGTGGACTGGTGCTACAGAATCACAAACAAAGAACTGTACTAAATAACAGAAACCACATCACTTGAGGACTTTCAACAGCAGCAACAACTAAAATGGATATCACATGTAACTCAAAGAGAAAATAATGAAGCCTGAGTGTCTTGCAAAGATCATCCTTCTTTGAACCTTGTGGACTGGTGCTACAGAATCACAAACAAAGAACTGTACCAAAAATAACAGAAACCACATCACTTGAGGACTTTCAACAGCAGCAACAACTAAAAATGGATATCACATGTAAGTCAAAAGAAAATAATGAAGCCTAAGTGTCTTGGCAAAGATCATCCTTCTTTGAACATTAAGTGGACTGGTGCTACAGAATCACAAACAAAGAACTGTACCAAATAACAGAAACCACATTTTTGAGGACTTTCAACAGCAGCAACAACTAAAATGGATATCACATGTAAACTCAAAGAGAAAATAATGAAGCCTGAGTGTCTTGGCAAAGATCATCCTTCTTTGAAACTTGTGGACTGGTGCTACAGAATCACAAACAAAAAACTGTACCAAATAAAGAAACCACATCACTTGGAGGACTTTCAACAGCAGCAACAACTAAAATGGATATCACATGTAAGTCAAAGAGAAAATAATGAAGCCTGAGTGTCTTGGCAAAGATCATCCTTCTTTGAACCTTGTGGACTGGTGAAGAATCACAAACAAAGAACTGTACCAAATAAGATAAACGACATCACTTGAGGACTTTCAATAGCAGCAACAACTAAAATGGATATCACATGTAAACTCAAAGAGAAAATAATGAAGCCTCAGTGTCTTGGCAAAGATCATCCTTCTTTGAACCTTGTGGACTGGTGCTACAGAATCACAAACAAAGAACTGTACCAAATAACAGAAACCACATCACTTGAGGACTTTCAACAGCAGCAACAACTAAAATGGATATCACATGTAAACTCAAAGAGAAAATAATGAAGCCTGAGTGTCTTGGCAAAGATCATCCTTCTTTGAACCTTGTGGACTGGTGCTACAGAATCACAAACAAAGAACTGTACCAAATAACAGAAACCACATCACTTGAGGACTTTCAACAGCAGCAACAACTAAAATGGATATCACATGTAAGTCAAAGAGAAAATAATGAAGCCTGAGTGTCTTGGCAAAGATCATCCTTCTTTGAACCTTGTGGACTGGTGCTACAGAATCACAAACAAAGAACTGTACCAAATAACAGAAACCACATCACTTGAGGACTTTCAACAGCAGCAACAACTAAAATGGATATCACATGTAAGTCAAAGAGAAAATAATGAAGCCTGAGTGTCTTGGCAAAGATCATCCTTCTTTGAACCTTGTGGACTGGTGCTACAGAATCACAAACAAAGAACTGTACCAAATAACAGAAACCACATCACTTGAGGACTTTCAACAGCAGCAACAACTAAAATGGATATCACATTTAAGTCAAAGAGAAAATAATGAAGCCTGAGTGTCTTGGCAAAAGATCATCCCTTCTTTGAACCTTGTGGACTGGTGCTACAGAATCACAAACAAAGAACTGTACCAAATAACAGAAACCACATCACTTGAGGACTTTCAACAGCAGCAACAACTAAAATGGATATCACATGTAAACTCAAAGAGAAAATAATGAAGCCTCAGTGTCTTGGCAAAAATCATCCTTCTTTGAACCTTGTGGACTGGTGGAATCACAAACAAAGAACTGTACCAAATAACAGAAACCACATCACTTGAGGACTTTCAACAGCAGCAACAACTAAAATGGATATCACATGTAAACTCAAATAAAAATAAAACCACTTTGGCAAAGATCATCCTTCTTTGAACCTTTGAGGACTGGTGCTACAGAATCACAAACAAAGAACTGTACCAAATAACAGAAACCACACTTGAGGACTTTCAACAGCAGCAAAAATAAAATGGATATCACATGTAAGTCAAAGAGAAAATAATGAAGCCTGAGTGTCTTGGCAAAAGATCATCCTTCTTTGAAAACCTTGTGGACTCTCTAAAATACAGAATCACAAACAAAGAACTGTACCAAATAACAGAAACCACATCACTTGAGGACTTTCAACAGCA